GCTGCATAGATGTTTTAGTTCTATAACTTTTCTGAGTACAAAGAATAATGCTTGCATAGTCTTTAACCTGATAATAAAACATATATAAATAAAGATTGCTGGTGTAACTCTTTAGATCTGCTTCTCCATCAGAGAGCAGCACTCCACCTGATCCCAGCTTTATCTTCACAATCTGTGTGAGTCTTTTATTTTCTAATCGCCCCTCCCAGGGATGTGAGTTTGGCCATGCAGGATGCCATGACCTACCACACTCATGCCAAAAGAGTCCCAGAGACAAGGCTGGGCACATTGTGACTTGATGGTTTGATTAACTGACATTTCAAGACTGTCCACCTGAGGAGTCAGTTCCACTGTGAGACCTTCATTTTTTAAAATTCCTTTCTTTACTTCTTACTGCAAAGATCCTCTTAATAGCATCCCACACCCCAGGATAGTAAAGTGAAAAAAAGGTAGGCTTTGATGTCACACTGATTTGTGCTCAAATCCTGATTCCGTCACTGCATGCCTAGCAGCTAGGCACAAAACACCCACCCTCCATGAGCCTTGACTTACTCTTCTGCAAAAAGGGCTCACCCACCCTTTGAGTTGTCAGGAGTCATCAACAACATAACAATTCCTTCACCTCAGCAGCCTCCAAGTTGCCCTGAAACACGTCTTTCCTCTATTATCTTCTTCATCAGTCCCCAAACTACTCATGTGGGGGTTCCATCCAGCTTGTTTTTCTTCCAGCCAAGTATTTAAAAATATAAATACAACTGTATTTCAATTTTCTAGTTGATGGAGGTTTCTAACCCACAGAAATTTAGGGGGAAATCTTAAATTCAAATTAAGGATTTCTATTTATGAAATAATGTTATTGATTATCCTTACTCAACAGTTTTCAAATTTTACCGTCCAATTTATTCTTACTTGCCAAACTTCATTCATATCTCTCTCGCTCACTCGCTCTATCCAACCCCCCCACTCACACACAGACTTGAAGCTTCTGCTTATAATAATAATAGACAGCCTCATGTCTCACACCATCCTAGTACTTTTTGTGAATTTAACTCTCACCATGCAGGTATTACTGTTAGCCTCATGTCAGTAACTTGTCCACACTTGCCAGTTAATATGACAGAACTGGATTCTGAACTCAGGCGATTCCCATGTTAATCTCTGGCACAGTGCCTACATATAGGTTTTCAACCCATACTAGCTGTCCTTTTTTACCCATCATCTCTGTTTACACACACCCACGAGCACCATCATGGCCATGGCCACTAGAGGTCAGGAAAAAGCACTTCATGAGCTCTAACGTTTTCTAATATCTGTGATTAGAGAAAGAACCTAACAAGTGCTTAGAAGAAAATGCTTAGCATCAATAACCATCAGGGAAAT